ACCTCCTTCAACCACTGACTACTCTATTTGTGTGCTGAGGACACAGTGGTAGAAAAGACTCAAAAGAGACCCTTCCTTGGTGGAACTTGCAGTCTAACCCAAATGACTCACCACTTGGGAGATTCAAAACTTGTATATATTTAGAGAAAGTGACACAGTCATAATGTTAGTCAGAACATTAGTCATTAACAGACTGGGATGGAACATGAACAGCAAAGAAGATGTGATTGCTCTTCAGTTTCTTAATCATTATCTATAGATAAGGTCCAAACAAGCTTGTGATTTGAAATTTAGCTCCAGAAAAGATAACATCCTCTAAATGTATCGAGAATGTCCAGGGTGCATATACAGCTCAGACTGTTGATGTGGGGGTTGGAAAAACTTCAAGCTCTCAAAACAAATTAAATGGAGACATTCACCTAAGGAGTAAACAGAGACCTACTTGGTACACATAGCCCATTTTATATGTACAACAGTAGTAGTCAGGGATTACTATGGGGAGGGGAAAACAGGCAGAATCCTGGGCCCTTACCTGCCCAGGATTAAAAGCATGGTTTGTGTTTTCTCCTAAAACAACCAGGAATTTCAAAGACAATTTTGCTACAAAGCATGACTCTTTATTTAGGCCTACAGCTGCCCAATAGGTAAATGAAAGAGAAAAACAGGACTAATCAGGGTTTGAATCTCCTCTCAGCTCTGCATATAGATATGTTAAACATCACTGATTAGCACTAAAAATATCATAGCTCAACTCCTTCCATGATTCTGGTCAAAAACCAAGTTGGACGAGAACCAAATTGAATATCCCCATAAGATCAGCATTGAACCTAACTACTGAATTTCATTTGGCTCTCATCCAACTTGGTTTCGAACCAGAATCAGGTCAAGAATCAAGTTCATACCACTGTATTCTCACATCCTTCAAGATTGAGGACAACAGGATAGGGAATTTCCAGGGACATATAATGGTGCCTGGAAGACCCCAGCCATTGTCTTAAACGTGTGATCACTTGGATTTCAGAAAAAACAGAGCTTCACAGAACTGAGACCCCACAGACAGAAACAATCCTTTCCTGGAAACAGAACCATCTCTCAACCATAAAAATTCCACAACTATAACACCAGGACTGAGATAATGATGAACCTGATTCCACACCACCAGCAAATTCTTAAAAGTTGGCCTTCTGCCTTAGTAAAGAGGCCAGTCTGAACCCCTGTATCAGAGAGTGCCCCCTCCAGTTACCTGAGCTGCAGTTCTTTCCTATCTTCCCTCGAGAATATTTTTCCCTATATATTTGTGCTTTAGTTTTAATTTCTACTATTACTAAAAGCAAGGACCCAAGCTAGCCAGTGATAAAAGGAGCATATGCATTCATTAGGAAGGAGGCAGAACTCAAAGGAGGAGCACACAGCAGCTAGTATTTGCTTTTTTTTTTTTTTTTTTTTTTTTGTCTTTTTGAGACAGGGTCTCACTATGCAGTTCAGGCTGGCCTTGAGCTCACTTTGTAGCCCAGGCTGGTC